TAAAGGAAAAATAGTCTCCACTAACAAGCTCACATGGTTCTTTTATTTTTTTCCTATGCTATGAACTTCCACATCAAACAAGAGACAGTTTAGAATGAAGCTAAATCTAGACAATGTAGGACCTAGTGGTAACACTGGCCAAGTTGTGTGTGTGTGTGTGTGTACGTGTGTGACAGAGAGAGAGATTATTTAGAACACATACCTTTTAACAGGTCAAAATATGCTGCTACTGGGCTTGAAAAATAGTGTTGAATACAATACAGATGGCTTAAAATTAAGGGCTGAAAAGAACGAAGAGCCACAGCCTTTACTGCACAGGAGACGTAATCCAGCCAGGCAAGCAAGTCTATTTCTAAATCGAAACTCTGAAGACTCCACCAAGTCACCTGCCTCCAGGCTGCATGGCCCAAAGAAGAGAGATTTTGGGGAAGCATCTGAGAAACGCACAGATGGGTGTGGGCGGATGGTGAGGGGGAGCCACCACATGGACACCACGCGGGGATGCCTTAGCGGGGATCCCCAGGAGCAGGAAACAGCATGGAGGATACAGGAGCAGTGGCTGAGGCTGCATGCCAGGCAAACATCTTTCCAGGAGCCTCGAGTTCATAGAAATCAGGACCCCCCCCCCACCTTCCTTTACAGGGATTTGCACAGAGCAGCCAACCAGCTCCGCTGTCCTGCGCCCTGCTGGGACGCAGGACTTCTATAGATATTCGCTGAGTGAATCAAGTATGACAAGCCCTTCCCAACCTGTCCCAGCTTAACTTTCCATCATGCCTCTTCATGATCGCTCCATCCAATTTTCTGTGATCTTTCTATATTCTGTAGAGTCTGTTCTCTTGCTGCTAGCACTCACCTGTAAGAGTTTTCTTATATTCCCAAAACACAAACTGGGGGAAAATGGGCTGAGTGCTTCTCATTCCGTGCTTTGGAGGCATTCCCGGAGGTTCTAAAGGAAAAAGAAGGCTCCTTTCCGCCTTCATGCTTCATGGATTTCCCTTCAGATATTCTTCTGGGAAGAGGAGAACTAGCCAACGTACTGGTGGACATGACTATCACCATTACCAGTCTCGCCTTCAAGAGCGCTGCACATGGGAGGCATGGCGGCAGAACCACACACTCAGTGAGCTAAACAGATAACATGATTTGCTCTAGAAGCTTGTAATCCAAGACACAGAGCTCTGACATTAAGCTGTGACAACTAACAAATGAACCTTAAACATGGATGTTAATTAATTGTGCAAACAAATTTCACGAAGAGCATTTACTGACTAGGAGAAGGAGCCATTTTCAGACAGATTAGAGGTATAATTTACATATAAGCTAAATCAATGAAATATAAATGGGGACTAAGCTGCTTTCATCCACTAATCATTTTTATCTATTCATTAAGAATGTCTCTACAAGACCATTTAGTATAGCTTTGTTTATATTACTTGGAAGTAATTCCAACTCTTCCTTAAATCAGATTGTCCTTCATTTTGGTCCAGATTGGTGAGTTGTTTTTTTTTTTTTTTAGAGAGAGAGCATGTGCATGCACACGTGTTCATGTGCACATGTGCGTGAGCAGGGAGGGAAGGGCAGAGGGAGAGAGAGACTCTCAAGCAGGTTCCATGCCCAGCATGGAGCCCATCGCGGGGCTCCATCTCACGGCCCTGAAATCATGACCTGAGCCGAAATCAAGAGTCAGATGCTTAACTGACTGAGCCATCCGGGTGCCCCAAACTGGTGAGATTTCTAAGACTGACTGGAATAATGCACAAGGCTATAAGTGCCGTAAGGACTGGCATTCTGCCTTGTGTGTCCATGACTGCAAACCTAGTGCCTAGCACCATGCCTGACACACAACAGATGCCCAACGAATATTTGCAGTGTGCCCAGGAGAGTGCCAGGTGCTGACAAAGTCAGGGTGTTTCCTGTGTTTGCTGAACTGCAGCTCCAAGTACATTGAAGTCACTGCAAATCCTTCAGTCACCTTGGCGTCTGGAAGAGCTCTTGCCTCAAGCGGTGCTCAGTGGCTGCAGGGACCCTGGGTGGAGGGTCTGGGGAGCAGCTGACACCAGCAGGGAGCGCCATGGAGCTCCTGTGATCTCACTGTGGGTCTGCTCTTGGCTGCTCCACCTGCCCTTTCTCGCCCAGCCTCCACTGGATGAAGACAACTGGAGCCCAAGGTTATTTTGTGACGCCCGCGGCCCCCTCACATTCTTGACTCCACCCTCAAATTTTAAAGGTCATGTATATCTAGTGGCAGCCCAGCGAGACCTAGAAAATAAAATGGCTTAATGCTCCTGACTCAGGAGGCACTGGGAGATCTCTTACCCTCTGGGGGCCTCAGTTACCTTGTTCGCTAAATGAGAGGCTTTCTCTAGATAAACCCATCCGCCTCTTCCATGCCCAGGTCTTCCGAGGAAGTCCTGGGGTGGCTGAGGCACAAGAGGTCAGGGTTGAGCTGGGTTTGCACCCAACCCCCACCTCAGGTGTAAATAATTAAGTTGCTTCTGGCGATTCCATGAAGCTTCCCTACTTCCCACCTATAGATTTATATATAGGACCAGTTATGTTCCATATTAAACTCCACTGTATTTCTTAGAGATGTTAATACGCAAGTTCTGCAACAGAGCTACATTGATGGGAATGAATCCTTCCATATGGGTAAGGACTGCAGCTCCTTACGGTGAGGCAGCAGGGGGTGCGAGAGTGGGGATGTGGGAGACGAGCGCCCCTACGGTAGGTCCAGGCCCCCCAGCACTGTGCGGAGGAGGCGGCAGGATGCGCTCTCCTCTCAAGCTCTCGTTTCAGCCATACACCCGGTTTCAAGGAGTATATGATTACTACTCCCTTCCCAAGTCCCTCCCTCCCACGGCCACTTCCTCCCACCACGGCCCCCCACCATGCTCGGCAGACAGCTGCCACCTCCGTCACCTTCTGGAACGCCCAATCTGATGGGCCCATCCATGACATACTTCCTCAGACACACTCAGTACCTCCTGCCCTTCCTGGCCAGTTAATGGCCCCCATCACCCCTTTCTCTCCCACTCAAAGAAGCATATGGGATTGCAAATGCATGAGACAGAGGATATCTTCCATTAAGAAAATAAGTGTGTTTGCATGCTTTTGTTTACTAACAATTATAACCTTAATTGTGGTTATACCTGGTCTTACTCCTGCTTATCTTATTTATAATCCTACTTATGTGTGTAAAATAATATCTAGTCTGCTTATATCTGACCAGTGCCCTCCAAACTATTTTGATGCAAGTGCTGGGTCATCCTCTTGGCTGGTGACACTCTTTCTGTTCGTTCAGTCCCTTGGTGACCTGGTCCCGTTGTCTCAGAATTGCAGGGAGGGGGGTTAGGGATGGGGCAGGAGAGGACAGGAGGCCCGTGGCTTGGGGTCCAGGCCTACCTGAAGATGGAGCTACCCTGACCCTTATAGGAACCACAGAGAGGACCACTGTTAAAGATGCAGGGAGGCAGTTTCTTATGTGGTTCACTCTGAGGTATCCTGGATAGGGCTATGTTGGGGTATATGAGTAGGCCAGGTTGGCTAATAATCTCGTGTCCTCAAAGTAATAACATTTAATATTTGTTCACATTTGTTCAGAGAAGTTGGATGTGGGCTCAGAAAGTGAGAAAAGGAGCCTACAATGCTAACTCCATATCGTCCAGGACAGTTCAGCTCTGGTATTAAAGTTCTAAACTCCTTAGCAAAACAAAAGCCCACATACACTTAAAAAATGGCTCAGATGATAAATTTTATGTTACATGTATCTTAGCACGATTAAAAAGAAAGGAGATTTTAACACCCTGCAGTTACTTGTGCCCACTCTCCCCAGAAGGTAGCATGTTAACCACCCATAATTACCCCAGTGAGGGTGTCCCTGCTCTCCCTCAGCGGCTCCCCCGTGAGTACTTCCCTAGGCAGGGATCCTGATCCGTAGGGTTTTCACCATCTCCGTCCTGGCTGGTGAGGCCAGGGCAGCCCTGCAGCCTTCTTGCCTACTTTGCTTCAGGGCTGGAAAAACCATCAGCACACAACTGCCTACCCTGCCCCATGCCATGGAACATTCCGGAACTGGATGCTCTCCACTGGAGTAAGCATTGATCTATTCAACATAATCTTAAAGTTTAAATGCCGTTGGGAAGAGTAACAGAGCATGTTAATACTTTCCCAATGGGCTGGTGAAATTGAGGTGTGGGGGAGAGCTTGGGAGGAGGCAGAGAAACTGGGAGGAGAAGAAGGGGCAGAGGGTCCCAAACTCCAGAAGGACTCCAAGTTATGGGAAGACCATGAACCTGAACAGCAGAGTCTGGGGGTCAAGGGGAAAGGGGAATGGTGACAGTAAGAGCTGGATCCTCATAGCATAGCAGCCTCCCCGTTCAGCCAGACCTGCAACTTTCCAGAAAGAAGCCGGGGCGGACCATGTGAAGTCGGCGAGGTTCTGTGCCCCGTCCTACTTCCGACGGAAAGGAAAGAAAGGCAACAACCACCTTCCTGGAGCTCAATGTTCTTATAAGCCCCAGCGTGTTTCCTAACTGGAGGGCAAGACTTTAAAGTCCGGTGACTTTACCCGGACGCCCATGTCAGCACAGAGAGTTTGGGGGTGACGCCTGAGAACAAAGTTACCCCGAACCCAGCTGAGCTGCATCTCCTGATAACCTTGGCCTGTTGGCGGGCCTCTTTCTGGGGAGGTGTGCCTTCCCTGGGCCCCTGCCTCTGCCCACTGCCTTTTGTGTCTCTGTGTCTTGTCTTCAGATGGTTACAGTCCTGTCCCACACCGCACAGCTGGTTCTTCCTGCCCAAACCCAATCAGATCTCCAGTAATTTGAATGTCTTCATTTGCAACGCAATGCATGTAACTAAAGAAAAGTTTACGGTCCTTCCAAGTGAATTTAAGCTTGTCTCCTGTTCTCCCCATCACCCTCTCGTTTTAACAGCCAAACTGGGCTCCTCGTGCCCTTCTTACCCCTTGTGCACAGCCCCGCCGGCCGAGCTCCTACCTTGCCCAGGCCTGGCGTGTCCTTCACCTTGCTGACGGCCCGCAGCAGACAGGGTGGGGCCGGTGGAGGGCAGGTCTGCAGAATACCGCTGAAGCTGGTGGCAAAGAGAGGGGGCTCGGCCACACACGAGGTGGAAGGTCGGTGCTTCTTCTTTTTAGAAGACAGATTTAACTTCTGGGCAGCTCTGGAAGGAAAAAAATGCAGAAGAGGGACAATGAGGGGCAAGTATGGTCCAATGTCCAATCAGATATGCCAGGCTCACTTTATTTAGCCACTTTCCCTTAAAGAACCCCCGGTTCTTCCTGAAGTTAGATAGTTCCCTGTTCATCCTCCGGGGGCTCAGAAGCGGCCCCTTACTACAGCGCAGTAAACCTAGTGAGCCACCCAATCACTTATACAGAAGGGGGAAAAAAACAAACACATACAATTGCACGGTTCTACAATCACAGTTTCTAAAGACTTGTTTGCGATCCACACTCAGCCTAAGCATGAATACAGCTGGTCGTCTTTGGGCAAAAACAGCATCTATGAGGTTAATCATCCCACAACTTCTCTGGTATGAACTCAAGTGTGAGAGGCCTTATGAGTTATTTAGAAATTCAAACACCTTGTAAAATCCCAACCAGCCTGATGAAGAACCGTGTGGCGACCAGTCAAGCACACTCCGTGTGTGGCTGAGGAAGAAAAACACACAGGCCAGGACCACGGGGAAAAATAAATCAACCTGGTTTTGGAAATGTAACACCAAATCAGAAGAGTCCAGCCATGGTGTACGGTGCTGAGACTATGGGCTGCTCGTGTGGAAAACAGGCTTTGTGCAGGGTGGTCTTTCAATACAAAGCCCAATTCATGGGGGCGCCTGGGTGGCTCAGTCCGTGAAGTGTCTGCCTTCGGCTCAGGTCATGATCTCAGGGTCCTGGGACAGAGCCCTGCATCGCGTCAGACTCCCTGCTCCCCCTGAGCAGGGAGCCTGTTTCTCCCTCTCCCTCTGTCCCTCCCCCCTGCTTGTGCTCTCTCTCTCTCAAATAAATAAAATCTTAAAAAAAAAATGCAATACACAGGCAAGCACCAGGGGTGAGGGTCAGAGCCAGCAAAGGTGGTACAGAGAAGGCAGATGGGGAAAGGCGGGAAGGAGGCTGCCGGCATCATTAATAGTGTTGGGGGTTCACATATCATCTCCCACCACACAAATGTTCTGCAACAGTTACACCATATTATAGCGAGTGGTGGTGGGGGTGGGTGGGGAGAAATCAAAGCAAGTGGCCATGAGGCCAAGTTATTGCAGAGACACTGATATACTCACTTCTGGATTAATTCCAGAGATAGCGGGCTGCTGGCTTCTTCCTTTTTCTTTAGTCTACCATCCACGCCCACCCATGCCCCACTCACAGACCCTGAAGAGGAGGAGAGTGAGGGTCCTGGAAGTTAAAGCATATGTAGGGCCCTCCCAAGGACATCACCCCAGGATTCCCTCCTCTCTCTCCTACAATGCCAGATTTTCACTCTGGAAAATCCCGGATCATTCCCAACAGCATACAAGCCTGCTGTAGTTTCTCCCACCTTAAAGGAAAAATACAAAACCTCTTTTTGGTTCTTTTTCCGCAGCCAGCTCCCGTTCTCTTTCTTTGTTCATCTTTGCACAAAACTCAGGGCAAGAGTTGTCTATCCTTGTTTTCTCTGGTTCCTCTCCTTCCCCTGCCTCTGAGCTCATTCCAGTGGGGGATCCGACCCCCAGCTGCTCTTGTCCCGGCTGGGACAACCTGCACAGTAGCTCAGTGGCGTGGTTCTCAGCCCCATCTCTCCTGACCCATCAGAGCACCGATTATATCCTTCGCTTTCTTGTATCTTCTTCCTGAGGCTTCTAGGACATTCCTGGCCATGCTTTTCTGGTTTTCTTGGCTGGTTTCTTCCCCTCACCTCAGCGGCAGGATGCCTCAGGGCTCAGTCCTCGGTCCTTTTCATGTCTACCCTCAGTCTCTGGCTATTATCTCCCAAGAGCACCATTTAAATAACATCGCAATGCCAGTGACCCCTAAATTTTTATTTCCAGCTTAGACCTCTCTCTGGATCTCTGTATTTATTTATCCAACTACCCCCTCAACAATTCCATTTGGATCTCTAATTGGTGTCTCGGACTTAGACACTAAATTCTTGATCTTTTCCTGAAAAGCTGTGGGCCCTTGGCCTTCCCTCTTCCAGAAAATGACAGTTCCATCCGTGGAACAGCCCCGACATGTCTGACTCCTCTTTCTCTCACACCAGGCAGCCAATCCATCAGGAAACCATATGGGCTGAACTCCAGAATGCGTCCATGATCCATCGCCTGTCACCGCCTTGACTGCCACTCTGTCCGTCTGAGCCACTAACCCCTCTTGCCTGGGTTCCTCGAAGAGTCTCCTGACTCGTCTCCCTTCCTCTGTCGCCCCCCAGCCCACACCCCCACCGCCCAGGCTGTTTTCCACATCGTTGTCAGAGTGGGTCTTTTAAAACATAACTGCTCATAAAACACAACTCCCCCATTCTGCTCCTCCTCTCATAGTAAAAGCCAAAGTAATTACAGTGACCTATAAGGCCTCCCATATATCCTCCCTCCTATCTCAGACCACCTTTCCTACTATTCTCGTCTTCAATTACTCTGATCCAGCCATACTAGCCTCCAAACACTCCTGGTACACTCCTGCTGCAGGGCCTTTGCACAGGCCCCTGCTTTAGCCTGGAACACTCTGCCCCAAACCGAGCAAGGCACATGGCTCATTCCCTTACCTCCTTCAAAGCTTTCTTCAAATGCTACCACAGGAACTCCACACCATGGCAGACTGTACTTTCCAAAGATGGCTGCACCCATACGTATCCCATCCCACATGCTCTTCCTAGGACATGACATTGACAGGCATGGTCTATTTTCCTTTTCTTTGAACCCCACTGGAACTTCCAAATTGCCTTGATGAACAAAATGTGGTGGGAATGATGTTGAATGACCTCCAAGTTTGGGTCATAACAGACAATATGGCTTCTACCAACTTTCTCACCCTTAGAACCCGGCCTCCGTGTTGTGAGGAAGCCCAGGTCACATGGAAAAGGCCATGCAGAGAAGAACTGAGGACTCCAGTCGATAGCCAGCATCAACTACCAGACATCTGAGTAAATGAGCCTTTACATGATTGCGGGGGCCATATTTCAAGTCTTTTGGCTGAGGCCCAAGGCACTGTGAGCATAGATAAGCCATCCCTACTATGTCTTGTCCCAAATTTCTGAACTCCAGAGACCATGAAAGATAGTAAGTGATCGTTATTGACTTAAGCCACTAAGTTTCAGGATAACTGGTTACACATCCGTAGTAAATGAACCAGCAGCACCCGCCCCCCATCTCCTCATTTCCCTTACTCTGCCTGCCTTACCCACCCACCCCCTGCATGACACTTCCTGTCTTCTAACGCAGCAGGTGATTTATTTAGTTATCATGTGTTTTTTTTTTTTAAGATTTTATTTATTTGAGAGAGAGAGCACATGAGAGGGGGGAGGGTTGGAGGGAGAAGCAGACTCCCCGCAGAGCAGGGAGCCCAATGTGGGACTCGATCCAGGGACTCCAGGATCATGACCTGAGCTGAAGGCAGTCACTTAACCAACTGAGCCACCAGGCGCCCCATGTGTGTTGTTTATTGTCTGTTTCCTCTCTAGAATGTAAATCCCAGCGGGGTCAAAGGAGCATATGTATATGTTGAATGAATGAATGAAGATTGAAGGATCTGGGGATACTTAGCCTAGAGAATATAAACCAGGAGAAAAGGGAAGGAAAAGTCTTCTAAAAAACTGTCTTCAAAAAAAAAAAAAAAAATCCACTTACAAATTATATGGCCTTAGCCAAGTTATTAAGCTTCTCTGAACATCTGCTTTCTTATCTGTAAATTATGTGCTCATTGAAAGGTTCATTATACCTCTGTATCTTAGAAACACCTATAGCATAAAAAAAAAAAAAAAAAAAAGAACAGGGGTGCCTCGGTTGCTCAGTTGATTAAGCGTCCGAATCTTGATTTCAGCTCAGGTCATGCTCTCTGGGTTATGAGATCGAGTCCCGCATTAGGCTCCATGCTCAGCACAGAGTCTGCTTGTCCCTCTGCCCCTCTCCCTGCTCGAGCGCAGGCGTTCTCTCTCTCTCTTTCATAAATAAATAAATAGATAACTAGATAAATAAAATCTTTTTAAAAAATGAGTAAATGATATGTAGCAGGAAGTATTTTTCAAGCAAGAATGCCAGATAATTTCACAGTCTATCTTATTTAATCTCAGAAAACCTGCTGAGGAAGACAACACTACTCCCAATTTCACAAAGAAACAGGACTTCAAAGAGTTAAATCCAGAGTCCTTTTAGCATCTGACCTGAATCTGGACATCAAACTTCGTCAGCTACTGGGCAGATAATGGGCAAATTACTTCAATCCCGATTGTTTATAATGTATACGAAGGATCTACATAGCACCTGGCATGTTGTTGGCACTCGATAATACGATCATCATCACTGTCATCAGTATGATTATCAGCCTCAGGTTCTGTGTAGTAAGATCCAGCAAAAATAGTACCTACCTTTGTAGACTTTTTAGGAAAATGAAATAAGACTGTACGTTAGAGATTCAATACAAAGGAAGTTCTTAATAGATGGCACTTTGTAGGATTATAGGTAGTGAAGCTGAGATTGAATGTAGGTCTACCTGCCCCATATTGTACAACACTGTCTCTAAATAGGTAGCAAAACAGGTAGGCGAGACATAAAGACACATTTGGGTTTATAAGGTTTATCTTTCTAGAAACCAGAGTAACCCATTAGTCAAGGGTCTGCTTCAAGAAATAGTGAGCTTTCTGTCATCAGAAGTGCCTAAGTAGGAGCCAGAAAATAACTTCCAGGGAATATCAGGGGGAAAGATGCATCAGATGTCTTCCAAAATCTCTTCCAAGGCAGAGTTTCTGAAGTGATTCCTAGAATCACTAAATTCCATTTAGGGAAGCCTCTGTTGGCTTCAATGCAGAGAAATAGTAATGGAGGGAATTATTTTGAGAATACAGTTAAAAATTACTTTCTTTTTAAAACATGTATATGAAATAAATGTACTAAAGAGAATTCCAGAATTTGAAAAATTAATAAGAACCACTTTATAGCCTTATGTTCTATGAGAACATTTTACTTTAATT